CTGCTGCCTGTCAGGAAGGTCAAAGATAAAATTCAGGCAAAATCTTCATGACTGTTATTTTCTGCGCAATTTTGGTAATCAAGGTAGGTCATGGCATGTTTTTAGGGTGAAGGAAGGTGATTTATACAGAATTTTGTTGCGGAACATACTTTATGGAAATGGAAGTAGATGAGCGGATGCCAATGGAACAAACTGTTCTGCATTTGCCACACATAAATATAGAATTCCTGATATTCATTTTATAATCTAGCCATTAGGATACGTTCCACTGATTAACTAAGGAAAAAGACGAACACTGTGGAGGCTTAACACCACTAAAATCGGAGTCCTGATTGGAGAACATTCAGCCCCTGTCACAACAGATTTCCTTAAAATTATTTTTTATAGATTCTTACGATCTCGTTCATATGCGTTGCTTGTCTGCATATTCAGTCTATCGTAACTTAAATCTCGCTCTTGTAACAACACTAACTGATTAGTATAAACTACTATGTTCCTTGTTGTGTAATTAATATTCTAAATTGCTGCCACACCTTACTTTTCTTAAGCCCTTATATTTTCCTTAGAATTTTGTTTCCATGAGCTTGTCACTTACACCTTTCTTTCAAAGTAAGATAACTCAACTTTAAGGTCCAGTAAGTAACATTCAGAGTTCAATTTTTAAATGTTACTTGCTTAAATTTACATCCGGAGTCGTTTTAGGCTAATGGTATGCCTGGGACCCTTAGGGCGAATACTGAATTGAACCTTAAAATATGCCAAGGTTATTTTCTCCTTTCTGTTCATCATTCATAATAACTATATCATTCCACTTTGTATGACGTATTCAGTTGAAAATCATTGATAAATCATCTCACAATCAGTTAATGCAAAGTGTCAAATTTCACACCCATGCGAAGGTTCTGGAAGGTTCTTTTGGAAAGCACAGACCTGTAACTTTGTTTTTATGCGTAATTATTTCACGTTCCATCTGCTTTACTCCCGAGGAAAGTGTCCACGGTTGACGTTAAATGAGAAGCGGACGGAATGTAAATAATATGTGGGTCTATATCAATCAGAACAGGAGCGTACAAAGAGTGTTGGGAGTGGAACGAAGAAAAGAGAGGGTTAATGGTAACTGCTGTCTGTGTGGGGGCAGGGGGGCAGGGGGGGCAACATTACCTTTTCATTCTCTGTCTAGTTTCTTCACTCTAACAACGCCAGCCCCGGTTCAATCTTCAAGTCTGAATGCGTGGTAAAGGAGAAAAAAAATAGAAGTCTAATTTAGCATCAGGATAGGACCTGAACTCCGACTAATTAACAGGCTTAAAACTATGTAGCCTTTCTCTGTCTCTCTTCCTTTTTTTGTGTCTTCTTCCACGAGATCATCTTTTCTTTCAAGGCGGGCGAGAACAGCTAATTTGAAGCAGCTCAGATAAGCGGCAATGAAGAATCCACACAGAACAAGTCAGAGGTGATTGTTGTCTTACATTGTTACGTAACGTGAGTTTAATGAGGAGACGATGAGAAAGGACAACAGCCGAAGGGGATTTGGCTTTCAATTTAGGACTGGAAACTGCTTCTTCTTTCTTCTAGTTTGATTCTCTTCGCCACGATTAGATCCCTTTCTCGAGGTGTTAATTTATGTAGCATTCTTCTTCTTTCTGATCAAATTAGGCCTTTTCTTGATTCCTATAAACTATCACAGGGAAATTCCTATCGAATTATTATGATCACAACATTTAAATGGAAATGGACGTGTCTTCATAAAAGACTTGGTGATGATAAATAACAGTTTGTAATTGTAATCAGCTTTAATTTCTCGGTTTTGGAGAATCGCATTTTGAAAAGCAGTTTATATAAAGGTTATTTCTCGTCGTAGTTATTATGGGTTATTTGTAAAATGTTTATATATTAGCTTATGCCTGTCCCTTTGTATCCATGTTTAATCTTCAAAACTACTCAATGCATTAATACATATTTTATACAAATTATTGCCATATAAGAATGTACATCTACCGGAGATTCTCATGCCTGACGTGACCAAATCTGATGAAATGCTGCCCTGTGGACTTCGTCTACAAAATTCGTCTGATCAAGCCCCCACAAATCCCAACATTCATACCAAAGCCACAGTTTCTTAGATTCCCCAAGTACAAGAAGCCATTGTGGGCCTATTATAAAATGCATTAAAATGTTTTCTCCATTAGTTTATTCCTTTTCTTAAAAGCATTTTCTCATTAGTATTGTGCTTTATAGTGTGATGGCGAACCAACCCCACAACATCACCCCCTTAAACAAAAAGAAACACCCCGGCCGTGGAAGGCAAAAGGCAGGACGAGGTACTTTAAAGCACTTTTACCTACTTATGTATTCCTCCGCCGGATGTTTGTGTGTGTGTGAGTGTGTGTGTGTTAGATTCATCTGTATCATACGAAGTGTGTGAGAGAGATGGCGGAGCTATATTCTTAGTTGATGATTTCCACTGAAGGCAGCAGCAGCTGAGGCTCCGCCTGGCAAATGCAAGCGATAATTCTTATTTTATTGCACGAGTTTCGTATCCAGGTTTTTACTTTATAGCAGCTTGGTATCAGCCATCCGAAACTATTATTCTTTTCTCTTTCCCCCGAGAATTCCCTCAGGATTGCTTCGCTGGAGATCTTTCACAAATGTGGAATGGGAAGAGAGGCTTACAACATTTAGTAGACACTGCATTGTGTGTGTGTCAGATGGGTTTCGCGGTTAATTCTTCAGAGAGCCAGAAACTTTATTTATTAGCAGGGACTGATGTGAAATAAGGAGTGAGTGATATAATACTTTCATATGTTTCTAGTCAAGAAATTCAAGCGAAGTTATAAATACGTCTTGAAATTCAACTATGGAACATGAGAGAAAATGCAATGTTATATTGAAATTTGCTTCTGAGGGAATTACAAGGGACCTGAAAATGTTTCCGTTGCGGATGGGTCATTGTTTTTCACGTGACAGAAAATTTTACGTGCGATGTGAAATAAATTGAAAGTTAGAGGTTCATATTAATTATAAACCAATATTGCAGTAGTATTGATCTCTGTGGGTCTTATATTTTGTTTATTTTTTACGTTTCTCTTTTTTCTCCCTTCCTTCCTCTTTATTCCCATCCTTTCTTGTTCTTAATTTATTTTACATTCCCTCATGTGTTTCTTTCGCACTTTAACACATTATTCTGCTCATGTCTTATTCACGGTCGGGCTTAATTATTTTACATTTGTGACAGGAAATTCGAAAATGTTTCTGGTTGTGCGGTAGTGTAAAAACTGTACTCAAACAGAAAAATGAAACCATAAACACAGATTCCGACCCTATATACTATGCCTAGGTACACTTGGTTTTGAAGCAGGTTGGTCACTAGAGACCTCGATTCACCTCGGTTGATCGTCACTTGTTTTGGAGCTGCCGTGGCTTGTACAGGGGTTAAAATGTCCCCCAGAGTCTGCATACCCCATACCTCACACTTTCTGCTTATTGGAGGTTAACATGTGTGTAGGTTTTCACGTACTATAAGCAAATTGTGTTATCGGAGTTTTGAGGCAAATAAAGTGCCCATTAAACACATTCCATTTTGATTATGATTTATGAAAATTGCTTCGTTCAGACGCAGCAAATTCATAGGGATGCAGCTTATGTTTTAAGGGACAATTTGTTTCCTTCTGTTTGTCGCATTATAATGGCGTGAAATTAGCCCATACCCTTCATTACCGACCACCCTCATGATCTAAGGAAATATTTCACACCATTGTGAGCCTAATATTCATATAGCATAAGACCTATATTAGTATGAAATTTAACTGTGGAATCATGACCTATTTCAAGTCACTGAATTGATTTGCGTAGTTATGCCCTATATTAAATTCATTGGTCCATAATTTGGTTATCAGCGTCATTAGATCAGACAAAATGCTAAACCCCTCGTTATATAACAGAGCAGAATGTTTGTTAGCGACGTGTGAAGATTTTAGGAATTAACCATTGGGACGTAAATTCACGATGCATTGCACAAATTCAAACAGTGTTTACATCACATCAAGGACAATTATCCATTGAGCTATTGCGAAATATTACAGTAAAAATTTCCCACCTGCTACCTATAAAAGCAATAAATACTTAGTCATGGCTGCACATGTGAAATTGTTTGCGAATGAGAAAACGTGACGTGATGTAGGCGCGTTATTGGATTCACTGAGTGTTACGTAATCACTGTCTTCTGTTATTTCTGTAACGCACAGTTCACACATCATTTAACTGTAGTTGCTTAGCGGAAATATTGTTCCCTCACAGCCTGCTATCTTCACCCCGGTTCTACTTTTCATTTTTCCATCTCTCAACCTGAAACAACTCACTCATTCGTTGTGTCGGCTTTCAGATAAAAGTTGGCTCTTGTTTGCTAAAAGTGATAGATAACATATGGCGGCGATATTGATACATTTGGCGCTACTAGTTTCACAATCATTTACACTGTAATGTTAGTTCTGGAAAAGATTACATTTCCAGCTGATATGGAATCTGGGAAGATCTCTCTCTCTCTCATTTTTTTAAGAAGGGAGGATTCTGGAAATATGTTCGTCAGTTTGGAGCAGGCCTACATATTTTTTTACTATAAAACGAAAACAGTTTTCTTTAAAGAAAAAAGATCAAAGCGCTAGAATCCGGTCTATGTGTTCCTAACCTTGGCACTAGATTGTGCTAAGTGATTAGCTTTACGCTCCAGCTAATTTACGTCCACGAAATCTGCCTTCGACAAACATTGGCTAGGATGCTGAAGAAAACTGCAAATACAGTTACAATCTCACAGAAAAATAAATGTAATTAATAAAAACTTTGGCAAAATATGTTAATAACTAAATCAGCTTAGAAGTATGGTATTGAGATGAGTATACGTCAAGCACTGTGTTTTTGTGTGCGCCGTATTTTAATTTCGTCAGAAATATAACTATTTTTTGGTTTTTCCATATATGTATTAACTGCCACAATTCTTGTTGCAGGTTACGCGAGGAACGAGGAGAGGCGGAGAGAGCCCTCGCTCTCGACCACAAAGTTCGAGACCTCAGCTCACAAAACGGTAAGTCAAACCCTGTGCTGAACAGTTTTAATAATATCCAGTATTAAGAACGGGAAATTTATTTTAATATCATCTCGGATTCGGTATGAAAGCTCGCGATTTATGTGTAAAGTGTTTCAGAATTTAGGTTTTATTGTTTAAGAATTTGAAATTATCCTTCTTTTCGTTTAGGCTCTACTCTCTGCACGTTCTCAGGGACTATTGGACACTGGAGGCCTTCACATCAGTGTATGAATTTTAGTAATTATTAAATTAATTGTTACTTACTAATTATTAGTTTAGAAATTTATAATTTTCTAAGTACTCCTCTGTTACATTTTTTATGTAAAATGCAGATAGTATTATTAGTATTAATATCACAGTTTTATACTATTATTTATTATGTAGAGAGACCTTATTTCTGGTGTAATAACATACTTGGAGGTTTAAGAAAAGAACATGCTGTTGCAGAGGATTATTTAGATCATTTCTATTAATTTATGTTTCTAAAAGAACATTGTTTTGAAACCGATGTTTAGTGTACCGTGGTATTTAAGTGACTCAGATATTTGGTTTCAATTTGTTTTTAAAAAAGCACTGATACAATTTCCGTTTCCAGTAGTTTGATTTTCTTACAGGTACGGCCAAATATTCTCGATTCTTTCTGATGTAACTTTTACTTGATTTTAATCCCAAGGCATCTTATGTCCATTTAAATTTACTTTCTTCCGATTTGTTTATAATCAGAATTTGGTTTATTATTATTGTTATTGACGTGAATGGAATTATTATTATTCCATCTATTCACCATTTTATACTGTATTTACTTCTTTGTACCTGAGACAAACCTTGCCACTGAGGTACATTATTTTAGTACGTGTTACATGTACTGTATAGTTTTATTGTGAGGAATGACTATATATATTTACATCAGCGTCTTTCGAATGATGTATGATGATCCTAGAATGGCAGTTTTCTAAAGTTCCCTGATGTCATGTTCGCTCGGGATGATGGCCAAATATTTTTTGAGTGACTTGGAGACAGTTCCAGTTGCTCCTATAATTATTGAGATTACTTTTGCTTTCACTTTCCACATTCGCTGTATTTCAACGAGAAGGCCCTTGTATTTCAAGATTTTATCAGCTTCTTTCTTAATTACATTTTTTATTATTATTTTATCGGCGACATTAGTGTGCCAGTAGGGTTCACGTTTTGTAATTTCAACTTTGATTACTGTCATTTTGATAGGATTTGTTTATTCTTCCTTGTCTATTTTCAAGGCATTAAGTTAGTTAAAGATACACGGTAATTATTTCTGTCAGATAATACATTTTATTATACACACAAACCACGCAGAAAAAGGTAAAGGAAGAGATAAATTTGTCCTTGGTGCTTAAATGCCGTGTAGATGTATGGAGGAGTTTAAGTTTACCTCCACGCATTCTTAACCTTGGCGTTAGAATTAGCTTTGTTGCTACGGCTTGAGTGAATGAGATAGGTAGAGTCTATGAAAGAAAAACAGCAGAGACCTGTTTATTGTCCCATCCCGAAAATAGTTAACAGGACACAATAACTCGACTAAATGTGGTACGATATTCTAAGAAACATTTGATTCATAATTATTTCTTGTTACGATGCAATTGTTAGAATACAGACAATAATTCATTTTAAAAATGAACACGAAATTAACTAAAGTTTTATTCCACTGTCCTTCTAAGAAACAATGTAACCAGGTAAATTCTTCTACTTTAGTGTTGTCAGGTCCTGGAATAAATCAGACTTTTGTTCAATGTGAGAGTGAAGTGTCCAGAACATGAGCTGAAGACTAGAAATCAAAGAAAACTAGATATTTATAATACGGTTTGTTTAAAAAAATTTATACAGTAGAAAACATTTACATTTGTTTACAAAACGTAAATGCGAATTATGTCTTTAACTTGTAATCACTTGTATATAGTAAACAACTGGCATAAATTCATGCTTCTATCTGCACAACTGTTACCGTGTTGCCAGTCTGCGTATTGCAAGCTTCCGACTTTATATCTACTGTACGGGGAGTTTTTGAACATCCAGTGCAATAAAATCTGGAAGATGTAATTGATTATGGTGTCAACTGGAAAGAAGTAACTCAGGGTGGTTTTCAATGGCCACCATTATGAACTTAGTGTTGAACTCTTATGTTCCAAAAAAAAAGCTTTGTTGTCCAGTTATGTAACGTGCCAAATAAACCCCTGCATCATGAATTTACTTAGCTTCTGGCAATTTGTCAAGTTGAGTAGCCATATCGACGAAATTGCTCTTGGTTGGGCATGCGGAGAGAATGACCGAAACAATAAATGTATACAGAATATTTCCATAGGAATAGTTTGAATTCAGGGCAAAGGGGAGTGGGTGGAACTGGCTCAGCAAGGTGGTATTTTGTGTTAACTGTTGAACTGTTGAGTTCTAGTACTGTCAAAGGACAGAAATAGTTTATGTTGTTTATGAAATGTTTGAAATCGACTAATTTAAACACATTATTTGTAATTTTATGGCCCTTTTGTTTTAATTTTATTAGAGTGTGTCAAAACCTGATTTTGTATGCTACCTTCTAGACCAACTCGATATTTTTACTCACCACTGCAAGAATTGTTCATCTCCTGCTAACGGGAATAGACCCAACGTCCGAAACGTCTCTTGTATTATGCCAAATATACCTCAGAAAAATGGATACTGTCCAAGATTACTATAGTGCAGTGTTTTTACAGTAAGAAACCTTTAAAGCGCCACTTAATTCAGCAGTATACTGACACTATCAGACCAGTTATTTTAGAGTATATTTCCCCTTAATACACTATTTGTTAGTGCGTTAAACTAGATAGGTGGAATGCATATTATAATACCGGTACACCACAGATTACAGATAAAGTTTTGATTTTCTCTAAAATATCAGAACGATTAAAGGTTATAATTTTGTCGATTGCATAAAGCCCAAAGTCGATCCGTCGCAGAACGGAGCTCAGTTTATATGTCGGACTAAGAATATATAGCACATTTTATATTATTTTCTTCAGAACTGAAGGGAATGTTGTTTCTGTCGGCAGGCTCTTCTTCGAATGGGCACAGCCCAGTTCTGAACCTGTCCAAAAGCGGGGGCGGATCAGGGGGCGAACACTCGGGCAGCGAAGCGGGCCACACGGGGCCAGAGGACGATGAAGATGATGAGAACGTGAGCGACGCAGATGAAGATGACGAGAAGGACCAAGGTAAGGAGAAAACGAGTAATTACTAGAGACCATTAACACTGCAGAGACTTGACGTCACAGCGGTGAAGATTTCGACTGTGGTCATCTGGGTTGTGACACCACGTGGTCTTGCAGGTTACAAACACTCTAGAGGAACGTACTGCGTCCATTTTTAGGTATCAGTCGAAACATTAATCGTTAATCTAGAATAATCGTAGAATAAACTAAACAGTCTATGTGATAAATTTTAAAGTGGAACTTTCGCTGTCCCAGACTTAAGGAACAAGCGGTGTTGTGCAACCTAGTAATTAGGGGCAGGTGAAAGAAGGAATCCTCTTGGATTAGCACTTTGTACACTAGAATTTCTTTGTGTTGTGTCTTGTTGTGGTTTTTTTTGTCAAGAAAGCTGATTCTCTAATTGAGTTTATAACTACACAAACCTGGAGATGGAAATACATATTTATTTGTCTGTCCATAATTTATTATCACATTTTTTGCCATTTGTTTCTAATATGAGTTCATACATTAAAATATTTTTATTCTTATTATTTACTAGTTCCCTTCGTATAACAAGTGAACCTTTACGAAGTTTTTCTTTTCAATTTATAACCTAGTTTGTGGAACTATCGGCATCGGTATTTTAAAGATAACTTTGTATGAAGAACAGAAAAAGAGAAAGAAATTGCTTATTGAAATGATAGCCTTCGTGATCTCAAATAATAAACAACGTCTAGTAAGACATCTACCAGCCAGCTAGACCATACTTCATTGCTGACCGAATTCACAGCACAGGCTTCGTGCGGGAGATGCAACCGGTGAGATTTATGTCTGGACCATGTATTCATTCGTTTCGATTCTTAATAATAAAATACAAACATGTATCTTGCATGACGTATAGAGGTACCAGTATTATCAATAATTACGTTAGTTGTATATCCAAAGAAGTTTGTACAGACAGCAACGTTTATTTTAGATTCCTACTGCTGAGATTTGGCACTTTATGACGTAAATTAAAAAGAAAGTTATTGTTTTTTGCTTTGCATAGTTTTAAGGTGAATGGTAAGTCGTATACCTCTTCCACACGTTTGAGGTTTCTCTGGAAAAGGGGACCGAAGAAAACTTCGCAAATTATGAACAGTTCATCGTACAAAAATTTAAAATGACATTATATTCGATGTACTGAATATTTAAATAAATATAACAAACACATTTTCTTGGCAATGCAGTGTGATACCGGTAATGTAATTAACGATGCGTTAGTAATGTTTGAATCGGCTCTATTATAAAAATTGTGTCTACTTCAAAAGGAAGACCAAGTGAAACCGCAATGAAAAATTTAAAATACGTTTTTCGACATCATTTATCACTTCGAGATACTAATATAGAAAAATTTTGCAGGCATAAAATATAAATGCAATTATTATTTTTTAGAATCTTATCTTTATATCAATCTGTCTTCACGTTCGTTTCATGAGCATTGCGCCGATAAGCAGACAGATTTTGTTTATTAAAGTGTAATAGTGCCTTACGAACAGGAGACTGAATATTTTCGATTGGAATGAAATCGGTAATTTTCAAAACCGCATGAGACCACTTTTAAAAAGAGTGTAGTTATTACTAAAATAGAAATCACCAAGGATAAATTCATCGTTTCATACACCAGACTATGTCTTTACCGTGCGTAGGTAGTCTGCACAAGCTTCTGTTTCCTGTAGAATAATGTGAGTTCTTCTCTCATATTAATTTATTGCAAGATTTAAGTTTAGATTTTGGCCATAAAACACCGAAATCTACAGTGATTTAAATAGGTCACTCCAGCAGTGAAAATATACACATAAGCACGTGAGTTACGCAGTGTTTCTTCAGTATTTTGCGGGGGCTCTGAACAACACTAGTCCAAAGATAACTTTACCTTATAACTCTAGATGTAAGAGATTTTAATGAACTGTAACTGTATGAAGAAAGTAGATACTTGCCAGTTATTGTTGAAGAAAAATTAACTGTAATATAAATAGTGCGTTTGTTAACACGTTTATTTAATTGTAAGCGAGTTTTTTGACTCGTGTGGTTTTAAAACGGCCGATTGAGTTGTAGTGAATGTCTAACATGAAATGAAAAAACTAGAGACAATGGACTGCTGAAAATTATATCAAAATGTGTCCAGAACGTTTTTCTGGGATTGAATCAATCATGTATGTAACATACATTTTCGTGTACATCGTAAACTACGCGCATGTATATTTAAATATTGATATCAGAAATCTAATTTACACTTTTCATGGCGGTAAAAAGCAGAGTTTATTCTCTTCGTAAAATATGATTAGACTCATAAAATAAACGTGATGACAGGACATGTAGCACGCATAACGAGGAGACTTGTTTTGAGGCCAATGTGTAGATGGAACAATTGTGTTAAATCGTTTTTACAGAAATAAGATGTGAACTGATTGCATCTGGTTTAGAATGATGCCCATTGGCGGGTTCTTGTGATCGTGATAACGAACTATCAACTTCATTAAAGTCTGAGGAAGTGATCGACCATATAAGCGACTGCCAGGCTCTCAAAAATTACCCTATTCCATATAGGAAGTTTGACTTTAAATTTTTGAACTTCCATACGTCGTTATCTGTCTGACCCGCAGCTGATCTAAGCGACGCTCCAGACATAGGCGGGTTGAACAGCGCCCCTGGCAGTGACTCCCAGCATGCCATCAACTACTCTACACTTGCTTCGGCGGCGGCAGCTGCAGGGGCGGTCGCGCCTGGTGTTGGGGTCGGTGTGGGGGTGGACCCCAGCATCTCTTCCACAGAGACGCTCCTGAGGAACATCCAGGGTCTGCTCAAGGTCGCAGCTGACAACGCGAGACAACAGGAGCGCCAAATTAACTACGAGAAGAGTGAGTACCCGCACAAAAGCTAGGCGATTGCCTTGTAGCTCGTAGTACCTGGTAGAAGTATTTCGATTCGCCAAGCAGAAGCATTGTTTTTGTTTGATTGTTTGTGAAACGAATAGTTGAATGAATTAGGTCGTGTCATGAAAGCATTTCGAATTTACCCACGGTTATATTCGTATAGACCCGCCGCGTTATGTATTAAATACCAAGCAGGAAAATGAAACGAAAAAATAAAACAATATTCCATCGTTTTATAAGAATTATTGGTGTTTCCTATTTTAAAATTGGATATTGATCCACTACGTTTTTCACTTAGCCACCTTTTTTAAGAGCTAATCCGATTTAGAAAGTTTTGGGGTGTTGAGGTGGTTAAAAGTCTTAAAATAATGGAACTTTGCTGTAAGAGTTGGTGGCACTGTAATCTTATTGTTGTTTCGTTTGTTATAACTTTATGAGAGAAGGTTTCTGTCTACACATGAACGTTTCTTTCTGTTCACAGATTATACTGCGATCAAAATTAACTTGAAGCCACAGCTTGCCATTTTTTAATAATAAGTTTCTTCATTAGCTTTGTGGAAACTTCGGTTTCTCTTACCACGTTAGTAGCTTCGCGTACTTAGGAAAAATCTACTGAGGATTATGTTTGGGAGTGAAAGAGACATAGGAAGAAAGAAACGTACAAAATGTGTTTAAAATACGCGTAATGAAGACTACATCATAATTGTTGCTGTTGTGAAAAACACTGTGCTATTATGACCGTTGAATCATGAGGATAAGAATTCTGTTCTTGTGGGTTTTGGCGCCGTGTAGACTCTCCGATGGATGACAGCATTTTGAAGAAACTCTCCTGCGAGTCTATACTGCGCCAAAACCCAGAAGAACAATATCTTCATCCTCACTGCCAGAATACCTCAAATCTCGCTAACAATATGATACTTTCGGGGCAATCACACGCGAGAAAAAGTGGCAAATACATGCAGAATCTTGTCAGGAAAACTGCTTGAGATATAACCACTTAAGTGAGCAGGCATATATGGAATGGCGATATTAAAATGAATTTTGTAACATTGTGTATAAACTGTGCTGTCAGCGGATACATTTTATAGCTGGATTGTGAAGACGTTAATAGGCCTTCGAGTTATAAACACAAATATTTGTGATTCGCTGAAGAACTGACAACTGTCTCAGAGGAAGTCTGCACATGTGGGTGGATAGATTTGTTTTAAAATGGATTGTAGAGAGTAATTAAACCTTACGTGGTGTGCCATTACTTCCAGACCCGTTCTGGGACACAATAGATTCCTGAGTTCTGTTCTTCGGTGGTAAGGTCAAAGGAGCGTAAAACTTTCCGCCCACCACCAAACGATGTTCAGGTTCAGAATGCACACAGCTTTTCTTCAAAGCGTCGTATATTACAGTAAGAATATTTGAATCCCGTGCCGCTGGAACTATGAAACGAGGCAACCGATGCAGTTTTCTCGTATAGCTGAAGGATTGTGCGTTGCCGCCACCAGAGTGAACTGCTGAGGCACGGAGTTTTATCGGATATTTCAAAAAGTTATTTTCTTTTACCAGTCACCAGATTATTTACATCGCTACTAGACCTCAGTAGCGTTTCGACAAAGAAATTATCGAAGGGCCGTTTTACGGTGCAATTTAAATAAGTTCGTAGTGACCTTCACCTTACTGAATGGTTTTGTTTGATTCTTTGTTTCTGGTAATGATGTCATTGTGTTGCATCTAGTAAGCACGCCTTGAAGCAAAAGCCAGTGCACAGAAACAGGCGTCCCATGACTCACAAACACAATGGAAGAAAATTGTCGTATGGCTTCTCTTGTGTTAATTAACGTCGCCAATTTAGGATTTAATCTCTAGACACGGCCATGGTCTGCTTTGTATTTATATGGCGCATACAGGCTAGCAACACTAGTGATTATTTGTAAAGTGTGACGTCATGTCGAATGCTATTTTTTTATTCGAGATGAAATGTTACTTTTATTTTTACAAGGCTGTAGTTATGGTCGAGTTTAAATGTACGTACTTTATTAACGTCTTGATTGATAAGCTTCCAGTAACAATGAGAAATCCATAATCGTTGTTCTGTATTACAGAGATCCAAGGTTAGTTTCATGGCTTTGTGTCGTCTAATCCGTCTGTAATTTTCTTTGGTTCTCAAATTTTTCAGTCAAATTATGAGACACAAGTGTCTTTTCCTTAAATAATTTATAAGACTTTTCATATGATTTATTCTACGAGATATCGGCCGACACCAATTCCTGAACTTACAAAGGGTAACACAACACAAAAAGAAACAATCCAGGCATATATCTACACAAGGACCGAGTTTCGATCTCAGCTTTACTTCTGAACTTTGTAACTCATTCTCCCTGCTTCGTGAAATTTAGAAAGAGATTTAATTACTTGTTTCTGTGTGGCCACGAAGGTTCGTTATTATATATGGTGACACTTAGAAACAAATTGGAGTGTCTCTTTCGTTCTGGTATTGTCATTTCACGGTTGAATCTGCCGAGTACTTTCAGTATCCAAAGATGAGGTTAGGCTGTAAAAATAACTCGATGTCCAGCACCAACGAAAACTCAAGATGTCACATCGAATTTTTGAAATGTTTCGACGTTTCTCCAAAAGGCTTCACAAAAACGTTTATTTTGTAAAGAATGACGCTCGTGTATATCAAGATCGACTCAATCTGAGACTGAAGTGTTGTTATTATTTGAGATTACGTGACACAAGGTTTGTTTGTATTGTTACATATTTTCTGTTAGTGAAGGAACTACAAATATTTATCTCAAATCAAGATGGGCATGCAAGTTTGAAATCTGTTTTTCTTCAATTATAAATTCCCCGACTTCAAAACAGAATTTACCTTTCTTTTCGAACGTGAATTTCCATTCTTAGCACTAGAAAGACTAATCGCCGAATATTGAATATATTAAAACGCGCTGCTTAAGTACACCTTATGAAATAAATCTTTTCTGGAAACCAGTACATAACTACTTTCAAATTAAACTTAATTACAAAATTACATCCCAGAATCTAGCGACACTGGAGAGAAATGCGTATGTAGATGTATAACGAATGTCAAACAAGAAAGCCGTCATGCTTTTTGCTTTAAAGCTCGTAGCTACTATTTTTCGGACCATAAATCTCTTATAATCTTTACATAATGCGCCATTTTCTTGTGGTTTGTTTGAAATGGAATAATGGTGACATAAGACCAAAAACGATAATTGAATTTTTGTTGATCGAACTTAACAAAAGCAGGTAACCGGAAAGGGGGCTACATTTCTATTAAAAGTCCTGTTTACCCAGCCCCTTTCTGTTCAAATCACTCAGTGTAATTCTTTGAAATTTAAAGACGAGCTTTCATTGCTTAACATTACGTACTCTGAGCTTACAACTTTACTTGGCAGGATTTTAATTTTTATCACTTGCAAATTTCTTAGCTCAGTAATCATTCTCCTCTTATTTGGTGTTGCAGTCAGATTTATTTGAAGACTTTAATTTTTATTATGGTGCATCATACAAATATAATTCACTTCAAATGATGATTGTAGGTAACGTTATGATTTTTGACAGAAAGTGGTATTTTGTGGTCTTCTCATACGTAATATAAAACATAAGGTCTACAAAATTTATTTCACACGTTTATCAACATGGTAAATATTTTTCAATATATGGGAACATGATATCTGATTCTGCGTAGGCCGTAATTATATTGGTTTTCACAACAATTAATTTGTAGGATTTGAGGTTTCCACGTAGGTGAATCTGAAGATACCTAGACAGATGAATAACACGCACAAAACATCTCATTTTTCTAGAAACCTTTCTTATGTTATCATTTAAATGTACTTCCCGTTCTCCGAATAGGATTATTCTTACACGTTTCCTGACAAAACGTTTGTATTAATTTTCATGTTTCCTGTGTCCTGCCCATATTTCACCTTCATTTAATAGCTTCAGTACTGTTAAATTAATTGCAAGGTACAAATTATAGAAACCATCATTTTGGAGGTCTAATTACCTTCATATTCTCATTAAGACCTTTGTATTTAGAGAGAAAATCCACATTTAGATTTTATAAGTTTTTGTAGGACTAACTATGGTCCTGACTGCAGGTTTCGTCTGTAAAAGGACCTCAATTTTCTCCCGATGCTTAATGCAAAGATTTGAACGCAGCCGTGGTTTTGCCAGAATAAAGAGATCTGTGGAAGCCTCCATTGCATCTTGTGGAATGCGACTCTATACTGCGTTCGTGGTTGCTAAGTCCCGTTGATTAGGGTTCTACGTGTGTGGTGCTCCATCTTTCTTGCAGCTCCCAAGAATTTTAACTCCCGTTCTGCGTAAATAGTAGAATCCTGTCGCCCTAATCACAAGACCATCTTTCAAAACGGTTGTGCATTTTTGGACTATTATTTCCATATTGTCATTACTTGTATCAGGCGCTACAAACTAACGAGAACATTTGTTCTGTCTCTTCTAAACCTTGTTTACCTTATTATTATCTTTTACTGTTTCATTTTTCTCTGTCTTTCTTTCTCTTTGCCTTCTCTATTCCTCTATTCATCCAATATCCGTTTGTGTACTGTGGATAATTTATAAATCCTTATTAAAGTCTTGGATCTTCAATAGGCCTCCGCTGTATTCACACGCTTACTGAGGAAACTTGGCATAATTTTAGCCCTAAAATTTGCACTGCAACCGGAATATTATAAAGTGTTAATACTGATAGCTAAATTTATTGAAATCTGAATTTTTTAAACTTTTATGCTTACAAAATTTTTCGCTTGCATGTATGACTGAATTTTGTTCCTCAGAGTGCCGAGGAGACAGTTTTCTGACGTGCCTCAATTGAAAATACCATCCACATGTAATAAATTTCACATGCATTTCTATTAAACTCGAAAACCACTAATTTTCTTTATGTCCATTCGTCTGTCTCTGTGTATATAGTAGCGGTGTGATTTTCATACTAAGTCTCA